TGGTAGACTCCATTTCTGCAATTCAAGCAATCACAGAAAACCAATGTTTTAAAACTAAGCTGTTAAACGAAATTCAGCTCGATATAAACCTCCTCAGGGAAATGAATAAAACTATAGTCATACAGTGGATCCCTTCACATATTGGTATCGAAGGCAATGAGAACGCAGATTATCTGGCAAAAAACGGAACAACTATGCCCCAAGAAATAACAACCGTCACACCTGATACTCTTAAAAAATATGTTATGAAAAAACTCAACGAAATAAATACTTATGATTTAACTATAAAATCAAAAGGCAAAATATGGGAAAATATTCATGACAGTTGGAAATTTCTCTGTTACCAACCACGTAAGGAAGCAGTAACCCATTTTCGGCTTAAAACAGGCCACGATTGCTTATCAGAACATTTATATAACTTTAAAATTCTTTCCAGCAAAGCATGCCCAATTTGTGACACAGGTGTATTAAACTCTGATCACCTCTTATTGTGTAAGGGACTAGATAGGAACTCCCAGAAAAGTGGGAATGTCAATAAATTGTATTGGGAAGCAAGAACTCTCATGAATTGTCAATAACCTTTCCTTTTTCATGTTCCTTTTTTATTGTTGAAATGTTTATTGATTCAAATGTTTATTGTTCTTTTTTGTTCACTTTACCTAAATTGTTGAATTGTTTCTTTGTTATTTTTCTGCTCCTTTGTGATGCAATGAGCTGTCAAATTTTCTGGATTGAATTCCTAATAAAGCCATATGAAACACGCATTTTAATTTCCAATCATAAAAAGAAACTCAACTGTATGTTAAGAATACAAGGAAGCTTTATATCTTGCATAACATATTCACTGTTTAATTTTATTAGTTTTTTTTTTTCAAGTAAAAAAAAATTTAAATCGATGTCCAAGCTCATTAACCAGTATACAGTTAATAAACAATAAATAAGTTATAGTTTTTATCATTATAAGCTTTGTTTTAAACTGACCAGTCAAAAACGAGGTAAAATTGTTAAGTATTTTTAAGAATTAGATTTTTGCACTGTTGCTTAAAAATCTTTTGGGCAAAAAATGCTCTGTGAGTTTTTATACTTACTAAAAATTAAACAGGAGTTTAAAAAATAAAGAGAAATTTAAGAAATAAAATTGTTAATGAAGTTGCAATTGGAGCCGATCAAAATTATTTTTAATTTTCCCCCCATACAATCTGCTACTAAATCTGTGTCACAATACATAAAATTCAATAATTTTATAGTATAGTTAGAAAAAGAAATGCGTAGCTCTCATAGAGATTGGGGAGTGAAGGTGGCAGGGAACAGGGCTCTCTTTATTTGAAATTAAAGAAGTTATCGGTCTTTGAAAATGAAAATTGTTGTTTAAGAAAGAAGAATTTTAATTTTGATAAATCTTGCGAAAATATTCGATGTGAGTTTCAATTTATAGGGCGATGTGTTTAAATGTAAATAATAGCAAAGTATGTACAGGAAAAAAAAACTGGTGCTCCTCTTAAGAGGTGCAAATATATAGCTCAGAGCCGTGTTGAATGATGGGATAGAGCGCTCGCCTCTCAACAAGGCGAAGTGGGTTCGAATCCCAGAGATGGCTGGTCGATACGAAATTCGCACCTGGCTCGCATTCATTACAGTGCTGACGTAAAAAACCTTAAATCGTGGGTGAGAGTCTCCTTTCCGTCTAACTAATCGTGGGAGGTTTTCGTGGTTTTTTCTCTCCGTGTAACACAAATGCGGGTTAATTCTATCAAAAATTCCTCCTTGGAGTAAATTTCTCCCAATACTCATTCAGAGAGTTCCCTTGTCCTCTGGATTAAATTCAAAATTACTAGATTACGGAGTTGAATATTGGTAGTCGTAATCTCAAATTTGTGTCAGCTGTTCAACGACTATTATAAGATAAAATGTATAACGAAATAATAAACTGAGAGACGGTCTTACTTTCCATCGTAGTATGTGTATGCCCCTGGCCACAAATTAGAGTGAACAATCAAGATGGCAGTTTCCGGAATCAGTTTTGATGTCAACTTCAGTGTCCATGGTAAAAGTTGGCCGATAGCTGTAAATAATAAAAATATGAATAATTTAATTGCAAGTGAAACATGGACACTAAACACAGACACTCAGCGTACTCTTGGTGTTTTTGAAAGGAAAATCCTTAGAAATATTTTTGGCCCAGTACAGGAAAGAGGCTGTTGGCGAATCAGATACAATTTTGAATTATATGGACTCTATGGACAGCCACAGATAGTGCTGGGCATCCAAAGCAATAGATTAAGATGGCTTGGCCATATCTGGAGAGGTCCAGAAAACAATGCAGTACGAATTGCCACCTTTAAAAATCCTTCTGGATCTCGGGCCAGAGGAAGACCTCCAACTAGATGGCTGGGTGACACTACTAAAGATCTCAAAGTAATAAAGATTCACAACTGGAAAAAAGTCGCCATGGATAGGAGGCGTTGGAGGCTACGCGTGGTTGAGGCAGCCAAGGCCTGTAAGGGGCTGTCGTGCTGAAGAAAAAGAAGAATTTAATACTTTTGTCTTTTTAAATTGTTGTGTAATTAGCGAATTTCAATTTACCTTTGTCTTCAGACAGGCTGCGGAGTAAAGGAACTTCGCTTTCTTTCTTAGCTTCAAATATTTCAGGATCTACATCTTCTTTGCTTTCGGTGTCCCCATCTTCATCATCACCTTCGTCATCTTCCTCATCTTCATTTTCATCTTCTTCTTCTACTTTCATTGGTATGCATCGACCCTGAAATAAATTGAGTTAAATTACTAGCTTGTTAATACGTAGTTTTATTTTGAAAGATATTTCTAACACATGATTTAGTGTGTACTGTACCAAAAAGTATCATGACTGGTTAGCAATGTGCTCAGCATTGCGTGCAATACTAATTACCTGAATTCAACGACTGAGCCATTGCAGTCAACTAAGAGTAAGATTACCATAAATGGTGAGAATATGCATTCGATTTAGACATCAAAACAGCTATAAAATATTTAAAAAAAAAGTATTAAATAAAAATTTCAAAATGAATTGGTCGAATTAAGAATCGCTCAGTATCAATTTTATTGAAAAGCATTCATGTTTCGCTGAAATCACTCTTGTTTTAAAAAAATTTTGTTATTTTTTTGTAAGTTTATGACTAAATAAGTTAATAAATTTATCTTCATTTCTGCTTATTTTTTTTACTTGATTCAAAATGGCGTGTCTGCAATGAACCCAGTCTTCCAAACCATCGGAGTATGAATCTTTCACTGATTTTGCTTCATACTCTTCGTTTTTTTCTAGTTTCTTAACCTTGTCTTCTTCTTCTTCATCATCATCATCTTCGTCTTCTTCTATAAAAAGAGAAGGAAAAGGGAGAACTTAATTTTTTTTCAAATGCACGTAACATACATTTTACAAGTATTTTGTTTTATTACCGTCGTTGAACAGCCGATCTAAGTTTTGAGTTTACCACTACTAACGTTCAACTCCGTAGCCTTGTAATTTTGAACCCATTCCGGAAGATAAGGGAACTCCTGGTTGAAGTATTGGGAGAAATATGCCTTCGTTGAAGATTTTTTATTGAACTAACCCGTGTTTACGTTAGGTGGAGAGGAAAACCTCCCATGGTTAGCCTCACGGCAAGGGGACTCTAAACCAAGATCGGTCTACCACTGAGGATATTTTATGCTATGTGGTCGGTGCGAGCCGGGTACGGAATTCGTTTCGACCAGCTGTTGCTGGGATTCGAACCCGGGTCACCACGTAGGATACATTCTTTTCAATTTTATAACCGTCGACCAGGAATGTGATTCTTTCGCGGATTTCCGCTTTTTTTTCAGATTTTTCCCGCTAATTTCCGCTGAAAAAATTTTTTTGCACAAGTTAAAATATTTTATGAGGAATTAAATTTTCCGCGAAGCGAAAGTATTGAAGTCCCCATTCCTCCCTCAAAAATTGATTTTCGTATTTAGATTTAAAAGTTGAACGTTGCGATTCTTATTCAGGCGATTTAAATGTCGTACATTGCGATTCTTATTTACGAGATTTAAAAATCCAATATCGCGATTTGTAATTACGCGCTTTTAAAACCCTATGTAGCGATTCGTATTCACGCGAGCTTAAAATCCAATGTCGTGATTCGTTTTTGCGGTTGTAATATCAAACATCGATTTTCCTATTTATGCATGCTTTAAAAATTGGTGGAATTCGTATTCGCGCTATTTAAAAATTACGCTTCGTGATCCATATTTACGTGATCTAAAAATTATGCATCATGATTTGTATTTTCGCTTTTTTTAAATTCGATGTAGGGTTTCACATTCACGTGATCTAATAGCCTCATTTCGGGATTCATTTTCTCTTAATTTAAAATCATGCATGTGATTCTTATTAATATATTCATGCAAGTTTTAAAATTAATCATCGGGATTTATAATCACATGGTTTACATGCTTAAAAATTGCACTTTTTTGTCAAATTTTTGTGTATACATATATATATATATATATTCATTCTTAAATTTCCTCTTTTTTACTTTCCAACTACTCTCATCCCTGCAGTCGACCCAAATTTGAGTTTACGACTACCATTGTCCAATTCCGTTGTCTTTGTAATTTTGAACCCGATCCAGAAGACAAGGGAACTCCTGGATCAGAAGCCCCCTAGGTATTGATTTGTTATGAAAACTTGAATGACTTTGTGACCCTTTCGTATACTATGCACAAGCTTTGTAAGGAATCAGATTAGTGCCCTGTACTATCTACCTTGCGCAAAACTGGCATATGTGAACGTGCGTGATGCTATATGTATGAAAAAAATCTCCATGTTTAACTAGATACCTTGGATGGTGTAAAAGTCTGCTGGCGCAATATTTGTTGAAGCTGAAATTCTGGCGATCTGTGCTCTCAAGTAATGTGCTTCTTTTCCAGGGAAACAGATTCCTCCTCCTATCTACAAAGGAAGAAAAATATATTTTATCAGTTAGAACTAAAATTAAAAAGAACTACAGATTTACGAGTAATATTTTTAAGTAAAAGCACGTCATGACGGTGTGTTCGTACTCATTTGAATTTTTTTTTTAGTTTTTAATGATTATTTGAACTTTTTAAAAAATTGAAATATTTGTATGCATAGATGGATTAAAAATACTACTTTTTCGAACAAAATGTGTACCAGTCGTAAAAACTACGTAGACAAATGTTCTTTTTGATTATCTAAAAAACTATATTTTTATGTTCTAAAATGTTTGAATAAAATCGTAATTCTGAAATTAAATGTTATTTAAGTTTATAAAAATTCATAATAGGAAAATTAATTCTCATGAAAACATGTATTAAAAGAAGTTAAACAACATAAGAAAGATTTTATAATTGTTCTGTCAAACTTTATGTCATAATTTTTAAACTGTTGAGGTCCAGCTTTAGGTAAATATTTTTATTATTCCGTTGAATTATATCTTCTAACTTTAAGACAGACATAGTTCGTAGCATCTTTTAAAAATCTTTACTTCGAGCACGCAATACCTTAAGTTTTGTGCTGAAATTATAAGATAAATAAATAAGCAAGTAAGAAAAAAATTAACAGATGAGCGTGAAAAAACAAAATACCCTATTAATTTTTAGAAAATTAACACTAAGTACAAAAATAAAAATCGTGATTATCAAATTTACTTCGTTTTCTAGATTCCCACTGAAAAATCGTTTCATTCGTTTTGCTGCTGTTATATGTTGAGGACGCAATGAAGGAAGACAGCGCCATTTTCCTACTACTGAAAAGTAAAGTTTTATTTGAACATTGATAGAACTTACAATTAATTTAGTCAGCAATTAAATATTGATTAATGTTTTTTTGGAAACATCATAGTGCAATGCGCTCACAAAATATCCTTTATTTAAATGATTATCTACTATAATATATAAACTTTCAAGGTGTCTACTAAATGACTGACGCATTTCGACGCAAATATTTAAAACACGATTAAATGAAGAAAACGCTCCATTCCCTGCACTACTGCTGTTGTTGTTGTTCATTTACGTCGCACTAGAGCTGCACAATGGGCTATTGGCGACGATCTGGGAAACATCCCTGAGGATGATCCGAAGACATGCCATTACAATTTTGATCCTCTGCAGAAGGGATGGCACCCCGCTTAGGTAGCCCGACGACCTGCACGCGTATTCGAGTATTTTACGGTAGAACAGTTTAACGAGGACCAATACCGCACACCCTCGGTTCCTACACAGACTGATCCAAGTGGTCACTCACCCGCACACTGACCGCAGCCAGTGATTCTTGACTTCGGTAATCTGATGGGAACCATGTCTTAACGATCAGTCCACTGCGGGGACCACTGCAAATTTCTAATAGCAGTCCCTGCACTGCTATTAGAAAAGCAATGAACTTTGAAAAAATATACACTGTGTTCAAATATATAAAAGTTTTACCCCTAGATGGCACTGGTGGCAAAAATTTAAGTACCCTCTGACCAGCCTGAGATAGACCTCGGATACTAAGCTTGTTTATGACAATCGCAATAGTAACGAACTGATTCTATTCATTTTTAGGTGAAAATACTGCTTTGGTTTGTTAATTTTCGCTTGGCAATTGGTTTTAGCTAGCCAAATACGAACCAAACTAACTACTTTCGCAAAATGAGTGAACTTTTCAACATCAATAGTAACATTCATCTCTTGCTTGCCAGACAGTATCTTTCTCACCACCATTTTAACAATGTGTAAGCTGAACTGAACCATTCAGTGGGCACTTTATATTATATTAGGAAATGCTATTATTATAGCTTTTCAAAGAGAAGATATTTTAGTTACAACAAACAGGCGAAATCTTGTTCCCTCGCCATAAGTTCGTTTCTCGTTAAAATTGCAGTACATCGTTTACTGAAAATGTCGGTCACAATCGAGTTATAACTTATGAAAACTGCATAGGAGTTACGAAATCTACGCTTGTTACGTCATTATGATGCTTGCTGACCAGTATGATACTACGTCATTATGATGCTTACTAACCGTTATGCTTTTATGACCTGTTCATGGAGTTGGCAAAGAGTCGCAAGCGATTAGTTATTATATTATCAATGCAAAACATGGTAATGCTGTAGAAATTTCAAAACATTTTTTAATGTTTTTTATTTGCAACGAACAATGTACTATAATACAGTGTTACTGAATAAAGAGTTTACACTCGTAGCACAATTCACGAGATAACTATAACGCAATAATATTTAAATAGCAAAGATTTCTACCATTACTGTGCATCATTTATTGATTCCAAATCAGTAATGCTGAACTTAAAAAACCCTTAACTAAACCCGTATTGTCTTTCACATAATTTTTCCACAAAATGGTCTAATCAGGGCCCGACTTACAGGTCTCAGGGTCCTGGACACGAGGCCACTTTGGGGGCCCTCCAAAATAGCCGAAAGGTTTCAGTTAACATGCATGATTTTTAACCACAATATGAAAAGATAATCTTATAGACAACAGCATATTGTAAACAATCGAATAACTTATTTAAAAGTGCGGATGTATAGAAATTCTAAATTTAATTTAGCTGAACTATGATAAAATACTAAAATTTAATTGATAGTGTAAGAGTTGTTGCTGAGAATGTTGAAAATTATGTAGGAAGCAATATATTCGTAAATTATGTCGGAATAAAATACTTCGCTTTCTTATGTAATTTGGAGACTGACCCCTTACAAGTTGGAGACCCTGGACAAGTGCCCGAATGCTCCCCCGTAAATCAGACCCTAAGTCATACTTCCATTAAGCTTTTGATTCTTCGAAACTAAGGACCTTCTTTGTCGCAGTTCAGGCTCTTTTGACCATGTGGTCAATGATTTTGGCTTTAATGGTCGATTAGTAAATTATCAATTGCTGCCAAAATTATATATTTAAAGCTTGTGATATTTTGCAACACTTTTTTGTTTAAAAAAGGTGACGTTACTTAAGATGACACAGTTTCTGTGCAGTTTGTAAGTGACGTGGAGTTATTGCAGTTGAAATATCATCTCATTACAATTAAGTTTAGAGATAAACTTATTATCGATAACTTACTATAAAGAGTATCGTTACTTACTATTCATAGTTACAAAGTATAAATATTCATTGATTCCAGTTCCATCTTCTTCAGGTGGTACGATAGCTTGCTTTTTCAAATTTGGTTTTGGTATGGGCGGTATCTTTTTTTCTTCTTCTGTTTCAGTTTCTTTTTTAATGGAATAACAAGTAAACTTTTAATTAAAGTATTGATTTTTATGTTCTTAATTACATATTTCTTACTATGAAAGTGAGCAAGTATTATTTTGATAAAAAAATTTTCGATGTGAGAAAAAATTTATTAAACGTTTTAGAACATAACCATCCATTCGTTGAAGCGCATCAAGTTGCCAAAATTCAGATTTGTTAAAAAAAAAAAAATTTAAAAAAAATTGACATTAAAAAAGTAAACCATTTAAGTATCTTTCGAATTTTTGGAAATCTTTCGAAAAATATCCATGAAAAAACTAGTTATAAAACTAATTTATGAATTTTTTTCAAAATTACTCGAATGTATGCTTAAAGTGCAAATTAAAACCATAAAGTTAAGTTTTTTTTTCCTTTTGTTATATTTAGCGATTGCATGAAATTGCCTTATTATACAACATTTTAAACTAAACAACTAAATATATTTAGTTATCGTTTTACAATTATTAAACAGTAAATATTCATATACATTTGCAAACTAAATTTTCTGTACATGTGTGTTTGATCTATGTATGTTATTAAAATTATGATCTTAAAATACTAATTTCATATTAAGAATTTCGTACTATCGCTAAATAATTTTTTTGGCTAAAAATATTAGACGAGTTTTTGAAGTAACTAAAATTTAAATAGCAAATGAAATTTTAATAGATTTAAAATTTAATAAGAAGAATTTGAAAAAAAGTTTATCAATGAAAAAACCGAAATATAAGTTATAGATCAGATATTGATCAAATCGGCATAAGACAAATTCTAGAAAAAACAACAGAATGTGAGCTGGCTTGTAATTTTCTAATACTCACTAAACTATTCCAGTAAGGTTAAAGGTCATGTCTGCACTGCAAAGCTAAAACAAAGCAATAGCTGGGAATACCAGAGAAACTAGTAAGATTGACGAAAGCATTTTTACAGAGAGAAAGGATTTAAACTGGGAGATGCATTATTTTGTCATCTATTTAATGTTGCCTTAGAAAAAGAGGCGCGAGATTCAGGCATACTAACACAGAAAACTATTTTCTAAAAGTCAGTACAGTATTTAGAATTTGCAGATGATGTAAGTAGAGCTACGGAAGATTTGATAAAAATTTTCGGAGATTGCAGCTAAAATCCTTGGCTAGATTGCATTGGGGAAGAAAATTTTTTTGTTGCATTAATGCAAATACTAGATATTGCTTCAGACGGATATGGGGATTTCAAATCTGAAATTAGTTTTGCCCTAAAATTCTAGTTTTTTTTTTAATTACATTTTTAGTCTATTTTTTTCCAAAATGTACAAATTTGATAACGATCATTTATGATTGATTTTTTTTCCATAAAAATTTTCTAACCAAAATATAAATTGACTATAAATTGAATTATTTCATAAAATGCGAATTCTAATCAAGAGTCATTTAGCAGTTGGGGAGGAGCAATGAATGGGACAGAGGATTAAAAAAAAGGAAGATGTTTTATCGTCTTTAAGGAAAAGAAATAAGTTGAGGTTGATTTTTGACAAGTTCTTTCGACCAGTAATATGAGAATAAATCTAACGCAACATTATATTCGTGTCACATTATTGTATGTGTTATTGTCATGAGAAAATATGTTTTCCGCGAAAATAGGTGGATGATAATATGTATCTTGGCTACCACTTAGTCTGTTTTATTGACAGAAACGGTAGGAAAGAATTTATTATGTATCTTGGTATGTATAATATGTATCTTGGCTACCACTTACTCTGTTTTAGTGGCAGAAACGGTAGGAAAGAATTTATTATGTATCTTGTATGTATAATATGTATCTTGGCTACCACTTACTTTGTTTTATTGTTAGAAATGGTAGGAAAGAATTTTTTCACGCGAAATCGCGTGATCGGTCAAGGGACTTTCTTTTTCTGTATTTCACGGTAGTTTGTATCATGCTAACTGTTTAGGCGACGGAAATTACCACAATCAAATGAAAAATACCGGATTTGTTCAGAAAAATTCCTTTTAATCTTTTTTATTTCTTTTTTTCAGATATTCGAGGGGAATATATATTTTTCTTTTCTGTAGAAAAAATCATTTGCCAACGCTTTCACTAAAACACAATTCTTTTTTATTTCTTTTTTTCAGATTCGAGGGGAATATATATTTTTCTTTTCTGTAGAAAAATTCATTTGTCAACGCTTTCACTAAAACACAATTCTTTTTGATTTCTTGTTTTCAGATTCGAGGGGAATATATATTTTTCTTTTCTGTAGAAAAAAATCATTTGCCAACGATTTCACTAAAACACAATTCTTTTCGCCAATTTACAATTTTATCGCCTCGAGGGATGCTTAGCGCGGATGCAGTATATTATGCATACCTGCCAACTTTCACTCTGTCCGAGAATGGATTTTCAGAGTGGTTGTAAAACAATAAACGAAAAACAATCTGACTCAAAAATATATTTATATTTTGATCCCGTTGAAATTCGCTTGCGCAAGTATTATTATGCATTCATATATATATTGTAATTATTTATATGTAGTGGTGGTCAAACTCATTTATAATTATCATTATAATTCAAAAAGTTAATTGGAATAACCCGAGTATTGCTACCACTTTAAATATGAAAATAAAATCTTCCGGAAAATCCGGAAGAGTTGGCAGGTATGTACAAAATGTCACATATGTATTATGTCACAAAATATGAGGAAACGTGGAGAAGGATATTATATAATGCGTGGACAAAATGTTGTATCTATTTACAATTAATATACCTTTATAATTTTGAAAATATTTTTACCTTCTTCGTCAGTTACATTTTCCTCTTCAGTTGCATCATCACTTTCTGAATTCTCTTCATCTATCTAATACAGAAACTAAAAACTTTAATACGTTGATTACACAGGGGAACAAATTCTTTGTCACAAATAATGCCGCCTAAATTTGGTGTGGGAATTTCAAACCTGAAATTAGTTTTTTCTCCTGAAACTACAGATTTTTTAATGACATTTTTAGTCTATTTTTTGTCGACAAACGTATAACAGAGGTTAAAGTAAATTGTACGACAAAGTTCCAAGGAAGTTAGAGCGCATCATCAGGATTATAATTGCATGGGAACTCATATTTGGAAATGTCTTTGTTTTGATTAGGGGTAGTTTCCTATTATGACCTGTATAAAAGGTCATAATAGGGAAAGCGCCCGTGGCGAGGTAAACGACTTTTCCGGGCTTGGGCTACTATGCAATATTTTAGCCCTTATGATGTAGAATTATGTCGCAACACTTATGCAATCCCCTGTTATTTATAACGTTTCTAAACTTGTACATTTGGACATAAAATAGACTAAAAATGTCATTTCTAAAATTTAAAATGCTTGGATAAAGGAACTGAAAACATATTTGAAATCAGCGATGTGAAAATATCCAAGATTCTTTAAAAAATCTCATGCAACAGAAAGAAAATTGTTCCTCAATGTTATTTGAAATTAACTACATTAAAAAAGAATCAAATTGACCAGACTGAATATTTTATATTTCATAACCGTCGTTGAACAGCCGACCGAATTTTCACTTTACGATTACCAATGTTCAACACCGTAACCTTGTAATTTTGAACCCAATCCAGAAGACACGGGAACTCCTGGGTGAAGTAATAGGAGAAATTCGCCTTCGTGTAGGACTTTATGATGGAACTAACCCGTATTTTTGTGTTACATGGAGAGGAAAACCTCCCACAGTGAGCCTGACGGCAAGGGGACTCTAACCCATGATCCGTCTACCACTGAGGATATTTTACGTCAGCACTGTTGTCGGTGCGACCCGGGTGTGGAATTCGAACCAAACAGCCGTTGCCCGGATTCGAACCCGGTTCACTTTCTCTGAATGAAAAAGAATCTCAAACTTACTGAGTCTTCTTTCAAATTTTCATCATCAAGCTCTTCTTTCTTCTCTTCGTAACCGAAAGATTCTCGAGGCACATTACTCTGGTAAGGACATTCTGCGATATAGTAATTGCCTTGATTGGCAAACATTTTACCCCAGAACTCAACTTTTTCCAGTTTGTAAGTTTGTGCCAAGTTTCGGAGTGCCACGTTCAGGTCATGAACTTCTTCATCACTGAGCCCTATGCCGCCGAGTCTGAAACGGCCGATTTTGTGGTGGAGATCTGGCAGAGATGCAGCCAAGTCTGGCAAGTCCTCGTCTTCCGTGTCTTTTTCTTCTGATTCGTCTTCTTCTTCGTATGCATCCATGTCCTCTTCATCCACTATCGTTGAAGGCTTAATGGCGGGTTTCCTTTCATCAATTGGAGAAAGCTGATTAAGAATTAAATTAAGATTAGTATTTATGCTGTCGCTGTTCTTTATAAATTGAAATGACTTTATTGCACTTGATAAAAATTTACACATGCAACCGACGCCCAAAATGGGATTGTGATAGCACCAACGTCTTCTGCGCATGCGCTTTCAACTAGATTTTTGAAAATGTAAGCTCTGCTTTTGAGCAGAGGACGCACTACGCCGAGACATTGAAGTTAGTGCTTACTGTGAACCCAGTACCTAAATAGGCACTCAGTAATTATTACAACCATTTTAAAACGTTGTTTGTCTGTCTATTTTATGTCTATGAATTACTAACAGATGTGAAATGGGATTTTCTTTTTTTAAGGCCATTGCCTTCTAATTAACTTGAACTCAATGTTCGATTTGAGCGTAGTAAAATAGGTGAACTACATCACCAAATTAACATTTTTAAATTTGTTTGAAACACTTTTATTGTATAAAACACGAGTTCGTACAGTGTCGCAAAACAAATGAAGTTTTAATTTTTATGTTGACAACAAAAATTTGATACAAACTGAGCTATAAGTTGGGCAGAAATCAAAAGTCAAACGCGAACAGGTCATATAAATGAAATTTTAAAAAAAACTGTTCTTTATTTCTGTTTTCATTATGCTTATTATTTTTTGAAGGTAATATTATAATTTGGAGATAAATTATAGTTTTAATGATGCTTAAGAATTTACGTAGTTGAGAGATGCGTTTTATGAATGGAGATCAGCCAGAAATACATTGCGCTTTGATTCAAACTTACTTTTCATTTTTTTTAAAATTCTGTTTTGCTATTCCCATTTTTATCTACTTTGTAACCATGCTTTTTTTTCTCTCCATTTTACAACATTTTTCTTCGGTTTTTATACCCATTACTAGTAAGTTTTAGAATAAAGGATGTAAAACTATCTGTCTATAAATTCTAAAATTCATACTAATATAGCAGGAAAATTCTAGGAATTATTTTTTCCAAATGCAATTTCCAAGTATGATTGTAATATATATGAACTTAGCGTACACAATTGGAATGAAATGTTTGTAAATTAAAGATTTCACAGTACAGGTAGGTCCACATTTTTAGAATTCCATTTTAAAAAGAGTACTAGCATGCATACAAATATAGATTAAAATACGCTAGGTACTAACGAACGAGCGAAGCGATCCGGAAGGAGCTGGGTGACGCAGCGAAAAGGCGTTGGAAACCCCTATGAATATCGAATTTACCTATACATTTTATCATTGGCAGACAATAGCTGTAAGAGTAATATTCTCAAAAGAAAAATAGAAAACTGTTCTTAAATTTACTTTATAAAACAGTTTCTTTTCTTCGATCATTTTCTGGAGATTTTCATCGAGTAAAATTCCTTCGATGATCTCAGTCTCAGGTGATCGTTTTTCATCTTTGATGGAACGGCTAATATCTTCCAAATTATCAACACCGTCTTCGATTCCAAACCGAAGTACTCTTCGCAAAATGTCACCCAAATGATCATACCTGTAAGTTAAAAAAGAAAAAAAAATTGAATAATCACTGGAATTTAAAAACTCCAGTGATTTTTAGCAAAAATCACTGATTTCAATTGTTTTTGGCCACCAAACTATTTTTATCTTGATATAACATTGTTTTGTTGTTTTATATTTTGCTCTAATTTACGGATTCGTAAACTTTATCTTAGAAAAATAATCTTCAATTATCTACTTTCAAAATTTCTTAAGATGTTTTTCTTGAATCATGCAGTTCAATAGCTTCTTTTTCATTGTTAGGACTACTCTTCAGTAATTTAATTTCAAAATATCTTGTAAGGGGCCCGGAAAATTTGGTGGGCCTTGGGCCTGAATTTGTCTTGATCGGTCCCTGGTCACTTGGTCCTGGTCACTCAGTATCCAAATACTGAATTTCTTTAGAAAGTATTAGATCGAAAAAAACGCTATAGCAAAGCTTGTAGGTCGATAAGTGTTTTAATTTCCCGTTAGTAGATTATTCTTATCAGATTTAACTTCAAAATGCTTGGTAGGGCCCACATTTTTCTTGATCCGTCTACGTCCCTGAGCTACTTCAATAATAACTTTTGCTAAGTGTTCGTTTGTCTTGCGTTTCCCGTAACACTAAACCTATTTTCTATCCTCTTAGCGATATTTTGATTGGTTAGTCCGGCGATTGATAGGGAAATTTTCGCGCATGCGCTGTGAAGCTCAAATAGCGTTAGAGCTGACGGAAACCGCAGTGCTTTGTGAAATGTCTCTAATGTGACGCTCGAAAGTTCATATCCCCTCTCTCCAGACTAACATAGAATTTAAAATTTGTTTAAAAAAATTTTTTTTGATTAACTCTAATAATGGAAAGCATTTTAGAAAAACTTTAAGTGACATTTTAAAGATTTTCGTAAAAGTCGGCTTTAGACCTAACGAATTAAAAGAAAATATTTTTCCGGTGTAAATAATGTGTTAATATTTTGTTGGTTGGTTGGTTCTAATGCCACTTGCCACACGGGCAAAGCCTGCTTGGTGAAACTGAGCAAATTTAAGGCGGAGTGTGCGATTCTTGTTTTTCAGTGGCGCCATCTATGGCCAAGAATTCGACTTCGCCACATCATACGTCACGCCTGTTTATAAGGCGAATCCATTCATTCATCCACAGATCATAATTTTGACCTTAATCAGAGAACGATCGATCTCCAATCCAGTACCCCCAGAGGTATTGATTTGTTATGGGAACATGGAGGACTTTTGCGACTCGACAGATTTAACGTGCATCAGTCACTTTACTACACGGGAAGTCTTCGGCCGGCGGGATTCGAACCCACGAACTCTCGGACATGGAGCCAGTGCCCTACCGACCAGGCTATCCCAGCCTGTTAATATTTTGTAAAATGTGTTAGTATTTTTTAAGAATATTTTTTAGTATTTGTGTTTTATCTTGGAAAACTGAACGTTTCAACATTTCCTCTCCCTATTAAGTTCTTCAAGTAATCTCAATACCGTTGTCACGGCCCCATTGTCAATATTATTGTAATGATCATTTTTCTATCCAATAGTTAAAGCAACAAACAAACAAAAAGGTTAGATACTCACAGCGATAAATTTGTTTTTGGACTGACAACAGACAAAATACTTTTCGCTCTCTCGAATTCAATTTTGCCAGCAGGGCTGATATCTCTAGAATCTTTTATCTCTTTGTATCTCCTTGCTTGGGACTCAATATGGTCAAGTGAATGGATACTAAGTAAACACGAATAATCCATGATTTCTTCAGTGAATTCAGATTACCCTGAAAATGTTAACAATTGCAATTGATATCACACTAGCTCCGTGTAATGGCGTTAGTGTGGACAAAATCCTCTTTTTAAAAAATCATAATGAAAAAAAAACTAAAAAAATTTTTAAGTCCTGGTGTAAATCAGAATGCAGTAAAACGTTTAAATTATTGTTTAAAAATACATCACTAGTTAAAAATTATATTTAATAAAAAAAAAATTTTTTTTGTTGTTAAATTTGTAAAAAATGTCCGTTTCTCTCCCTACCATAAAATTGATTATTGTTTGAATTTTCATACATATTGCCCATTTTTGTATGTCGTTTACTAAACAATACTTTGAAACTTGATGAATAATTTAGGGTAAGCATTTTATTTGACTATGAATTCATTTTTAAAAATATATTAGTATTAAAAGTGGTACTTATAATTTTCGGGAGTTTAAAATATCTAATAACGTAATATTTCTATCAGCTACCAATATTGGCATATTAGGTACCTACAATGACAATAATACTCATTACAACAATTAATAAAGTATCACCGGTATCAATAACAGTTTAGAGATTTTCCCCTCCGAAATAATAAAGTACCTTAAAATTGTACTCAACATGATTTTGGTTTTAAATAATTTGTCTCTTTTATTACCACCCAATATGTTACCTACATGGAACGCACACTCAAGCTAAACCAAAGTTTTCTGAATTAGACGTACCGCCTTAGTACCTGTAACTTAATCCTTATTGGCTGACTAACACGTGACATAGCTTGCAAGTACCCAATCGAATTCGCAAGTTCGAATTTAAGCGCTTAAATCAAAACAGATACCTTTTTTGGGAATCGAGAGATTTCGCAGTTTTGCATATCATCCTGCTGTTGTTACCATATGCCATAAAGTCAAAGGGGGTGCGCTCCTGCATGTTTTTCAGTGGCACCATCTATGGCCAAAATTTTGACCCGTGCTTAGGGCGGACCCATTCATTCATCCATCGATCGTAATTTTGACCTAATCAGAGAACGACCAATTTCCAATTCAGTATACCCCAGAGGTTTGATTTGTTATGAGAACATGAAGGACTTTGTGACCAAAAAGATTTAACTTGCACATGTCACCATTTACTGCTCGGAGAGTCTGGGGGGAGATCGAACTCATGACCTATTGGACATGGGCCCAACACCCTTTCCAACTAGGCTATCCCGGCCTTATATCATCCTGTACGTAAGTACTTAAGTAACGGTGGATCTTACGTTTTTATTTCGATCTTGCCTATTTTTACGTTTGATAGGTGTGGTTAACGTTATAAAGTTACATTCCACGATGGAAAATGGCGGATATGGATAAGATAATGACTATATGAGGAATCATGTGAATAGAATAATGGGTACATACGTACTAACGCAGCAGAAGTTGCGCTAATGCACCAATAAAGAGCAATCCTGTTGTTCGCACACAGTTATCTTTTGGATTCTTTGTTGCCTTGTTGTTTGCTGATTTTTGGCGCCATTTTTTAGTGCTACAAAAATGCTTCTTTGGGATATGCCGAAAACAGAGCAAGAAGCAATTTTATTTTTTCAGGAGCGAAATATTTTACCAAAAAAACGAAAATGCACCAATTCCCATGACATGAAACGTTACTTTGGTAAAGGTACGTTTTGGAAATGTAATTTAAGACAGTGTGATCAGCAAGTGGGACTAAAAAAAAACTGTTTTGAATCTATGTTATCGACCCATTTTCCACCGAAATCCGATTGACTACTTTGATTTTAAATAAAGTGTTTTGAATTTTGAAAGTGTTTTGATTTTAAATAAAGAGTTTTATTTTATATGATTTGTCGCAAAACTTTTTGGTGTAGATTGGCGGCACTTAAAAACCGCCAAATCTGTAGCTGCGGTGGTGTTAATACGTAAGTACCGAGTAATGACGATATGATGGATCGTGTGAATTAGATAATTGCGATATGATATACTCTGTGCTATTTATGGCTGAAGCAAAAAAACAGGAAGAATAAAGGGAAAAAAACGAAAATTGATTAATAAATTTACTATATTTTCGGTTTTATGAACAAGAACTTTTCTCAGTGTCTAAACACGAAATGAAATCAGCAAAAAAAACACAGAACTTTTGATCAAATTTGAAGTTAAAAATCAGAGTTTTAAACTGATGTATTTTACATTTGTGGTACTTTTACATCAGCTATTCAACTATTTTATTTATTTATTTATTTTGATTATGGCCATGTTGTTTTGTGTTCTAAAATAAATAAAATAATGGGAAAAATATACTTGAGGGTGCCCGTTGGCGAAATTGGCGACTTATGTTTGGCGCTATTCCTGTTTGCGAGGAACACCGTGGTAACAGGAATGGTGGCCAAAACATAATGATATTTCAATAAAACATCGGATAAAGCTTGCAATGAACCCAATATAAGTAAAATTAATAAATCCAATAAAAATTATTCTGAATCGAAGCAAAAATTAATGGAGTAGGCGCAAAAAGAAAAGGAAGAAAAAAAAACTCGCTTCTTCATTAAGCTTGAATATTCTCAGATTTAGGTGCACAGAATTATCTAATAACAGTTAGATACTGTCTAAATTTATCGTGAATAGAATCTGTGTACCTCCATCGTCACATAAATTCGGCGAAATATGAATCGAAAATGGCGTTTGTGGTACCGAACTGGTGATGACATTTTTTTATAAAGTCCCTTTTTATGACTGCCCACATACCTTCGATCTTATTGACCAGAAGTAAAAGTAACCTTACCAGCCGGTATCTAACGAAGAACTAATGGACCTCTGAAATTACG